CCGCTGTCCCCAGTCCTCCCAAGAGACTGCACACCTTTCAGCCCAGGGACGGTGGCGACACTGCTCTCAGTAGCGCCCTGTGGTTAAATTTCCTCTCCTGGGCAGTGTTTCTTCTTCATGAAGACTGCTTTGGGCTTGTCACCGCGGTGGGAAGCACCGTCAGAACCTGCTGGCTCCTGTTCTCCTCGCGGCTGCTTCCTGTGGGGCCTGCGCCTGCAGAGCCCTCTGCCCAGCCTGGCCTGGGGACACTGCTGACCCTCGCAGCCTGTGGCTCTCTGTGTTGGGGGGACCCTGGGCCCACTCCCTCACTTTGCTGAGGCTTCTCTTTCCCACCTGGGGTTAAAGATATGGCAGGGAAGGATTCTCGAGCCCCCAGGAGTGAGGGGCGTCTCTAGCCCCCGTTCCTGCCGGCCGTGCTCTGGGGTCGTGCGCAGCCTGCGGAACTGCAGTTCCTTTCTGGGCTTCCGCGTTGCCCCTGGATTCTGAAATGAGGCTCGTGGGACTCCCTTTGGGTTCCTGGTGCTGGAATCCAGTCTGCACACTCTTGATCTGGGTCCTCAGGAAGGCCCTGCCTCTTCCCCCCGGTTCCTCCTGGGTCTCCCCGTGTCCAGGGGCATGTCCTGGAGTGACCTCTGCTCTCTCCTCCTCCGCTCCAGGGTTTCCTACTTCTCCTTCCACTTCTGCTACTCGCCCCCCCCCCGCCCCGTTTCTCTCCAGCGTCATTTCCTGTCCTCCAGTTTGAGCCTCTTGCTCTTTCCCAGGCCCACGTCCTCCTCCTCCCCTGGCTGTCCTCTGACTTCCTCTTTCCCGTGGGTCTCCTCGAGGTCTCTTCAGCTGTCGCAGTCCTTGGCCAGCCGTTCACAATGACAGCTGAGATACTGTGGAATTGAGCCTGGAGTGACAGGGAGCGAGCTCTGGGCCAGCTCTGAGGACAGACTGGGGGACTCAGACAGTAAAATCCCCACTTTGGGGAGTGTCACTCACAGCCGCCCTCAGATGGGTCTGTGTTCCCAGTACCCAGGTGTTCCTGCCAAGCTCTCTAGGAGTGGCCTGCTGTCGTCCGCTGGGCCTGAGGGGAGCCTGGGGTCTCTGTCCTGCGCAGCCTCTCAGCCCTCCCTGTTCCCAGCCCTGGCCTCACATACCTCTGGCCTGTGATTCCGAAACACCCGTTAGCTGACATCTCAAGGCCTTCTCATTATGCAGGAACCTAAGATTAGGTTCTGGTGGTTCCAGGCTAAGTCAATTACCACTCAATTCTCTTTTCTTTTTTCTCTTTTTGTAGTATGGGGGATTTAACTCATCACTTTTGTTTTATTTCAAAATTTTGTTGCATGCTTTCCTCTCTGGCCATATAGGTTGTTTGAGTAGTGTCTGAGTCTGTTTTGTGTTACTGTAATGAAATGCCTGAGGCTGAGTAACTTTATAAAGAAAAGATGTTCATTTAGCTCATTGTTCTGGAGTTTTGAGGGCCTGCATCTGGCAATGGCCTTTCTGCTGGCAGGGCCCTGAGGTGATACAGAGTACCACAGGGTAGGAGACAGTTCACATGTGTGGGTCTTTCCATGACCCTCTGGCTTATGAAAGGTTATGATGTAGACTAGTGGGTTTTCTTTTTCACTCTTTGCCCCTCTCCCACTTCTTATTCCTCCCACTGCACGGCCCAGCCCCTCCTCAGGGACAAGGTGTCTTCACCTTTGATGTGCAACAGACAGGAAGCAGTGGGATGGATGAGCACATGGAGGATGTGGTGACAGACTTCTGGCTTACCAAGAGCAACCAGTGAGGTCCACTGTGGGCACCAGAGGGAGGGCTAGCGACGGCCAGAGATGTCAGGCAGACAGCAGGGACCGAGAGGGGACGCACCTCTGCTGCTGAGACAAGAGGAAGGGGAAGAGAAGGCCACAACTACAGGAGAAGGAAAGCCCATGCAGCGCAGGGGCAAGTTTGGCACGCGCCCAGCACACAGGTCAGATGGCCTCCTCCTGCCTCCACGAGGCTGATCAAGCGCACAGGACATTTGGCCTCCTCCTGCCTCCGCAAGGCTGTGCATCAAGACGTGGAGACAAGCTGGTCCTCGGGGTGCTGCGAGTCCCAGAGCGGGGACAGTGAGGAGCTCGGCCACCTGAGGCCTCCAGAAGCCTCTCCGGGGAGTGCCGTCCAGCTGCACGCAGAGTGGGAAGGGGAGGCCCGGAGCTTGGGGAGTGCAGACTTAATTAAACTAAGTTCCCCACATAAATGCAATCATGTCCCATTTGTCTTTTAGTGACTGCTTACTTCACTTAGCATAAGGTCCTCAAGGTTCACTCCTTCAGCCTGGGTCAGAATTCTTCCTTTTCAATCTTCTGTAATAGTCCACCATATGGCTATACCACATTCTACTTATCCATTTATCTGCCGAGGGACACGCAGGTTGCTTCTAACTCTTGGCTATTGTGAATAGCACTGCTACAAACACGGGTGTGTAAATACCTCTTGGAAATCTTGCTTTGAGTTATTCTGGATGTGGAACCATGAATTCACATGGTCAGTTTTTTAAGGGCCCGCCACCCTGTCTCCCAGGTGATCCACCCTGTTGCATGCATGACCGTCAGAGGGCTCCAGTCTCTCCTCGGCCTTCCCAGCCCTTGCTCTGCGGCTGCTTTCCGATAGTGGCCATCCTAATAGTGTGAGCGCTGTTTCGTTGTTGGTTTTGATTTGCATTTTCCTATGGCTTAGTGACCTTGAGCATCTTTTCCTGTGCTCATTGGCCATCTCTCTTTTTTGGAAAAATGTCTTTTCAAGTCCTTTACCCAATGTCTTAATTGAGTTGCTGGGTTTTTGTGGTTGTGTCTTAGGAGTTCTATTTTCTGGATAATAACCCCTTACCAGATATATGGCTTGCACTCATTTGCTCTAATTCCATGGGTTGCTTTTTCATTCTGATGACTGTGACCTTTAATACATGAAAACATTTTTGATGCAGTCCAGTTCATTTTTAATTTAATGTTCTGTGGGTAGACATTAATTTTGTTGCCTATGATTTTTGTGTAATACCCAAGAAGTCACTGCCAAATCCAAGTCATGAAGCTTTTCCCAAATTTCTAAGTTTTATACACTTAGCTCTAAATTTTGAGCTCTTTGATCTATTTTAATTTTTAAATATGAAATAAGGGTCTAATTTCACTCATTTGCATGTGAGGATATCCAGTTTTCCCAACACCATTTATTGATAAACTGTCCTTTCCCTATTGAATGGTCTTGACACCTTGATGAAGCTCATTACTGTATACACAGGAATAAATCTATGGGCCCTCTACTCTGTCTCATTGGTGTAATGTCTATCTTTATACTATTATGTCACCATTTTGATTACTGCAGCTTTATAGTAAATTCTGAAATCAGGAAGAATGCAACTTCCAATACTGTCATTTTTTAATAGTGTTTTTTCTTTTGGGGGAGGCTTGAGATTCCATATGAATTTTAGGATGGAATTTCTTATTTCTTATTTCTGGTGGTTTTGATAAGGATTGTGTTATGTATGTTGACTGCTTGAGGTGGTACCGACATTCTAACAATATTATCTTGCAGATCACAAATATGGGATGTCTTTCCTTTTGTGTCTTAATTTCATTTAATGTTTGATAGTTTTCAGTGTACAAATCTTTTACCCACTTGATTAAGTTTATTGGTTTAGTTCATTTCTAAGTATTTTATTCTTTTTGATGCTAGTCCAATGGTTCATTGTTATAGACTATAAGAATACAGCTGACTTGTGTTGATTTTGTATCCTGAAACTTTACTGAATTCACTTATTCTTTCTAATAGGTTTTGTTTTTTTTTTTTGGTGGAACTTTTAGGTTTTTTTAATAGACAAGACGATGGTGTCTACAAATAGAGTCACGTTCACTTCTTTCCAATTTGGATGGCTTTTGTTTCTTTTTCTCACCCGATTGCTCCAGCCGAGTCTCCTACTACCGTGTTGGGTGGAGGTGGTGAAAGCAGGCGTGAGGCTTTGTTCCGGATCTTCGGGGTGAGAGTGGTAAGCTGGAGGCTTTCCACAGATGACTCTGCTCTGTTGAAGTCATTTCCTTCCACGCCTAGTTGGAGCGTTTTTACCAAGAAATAGCACTGAATCCTGTCAGATGCTTTTTCTGTATCAGGGTTTTTTCCTCCGTTCTGTAATGAAGTATATTATGGTGGTTAAACTGTATGTGGTAGGGGGAGCACTCGGGATTGAACCCAGGAAAGCTCTACTTCTGAGCTTTTTAAAATTTTCAGACAGGGTCTTGCTAAGTTGCTGAGGCTCACCTCAAAATTGTGATCCTCCTGCCTCAGCCTCCTGAGTTGCTGAGATTACAGGTGTGGCCACTAAATAGGCAAAGTGATGGATTTTTGTATGTTGACCCACCCTCCTATTCCCAGGGTAAATCCCACTTAACCATGAACATGATACTTCCAATGGATGGTGAATTCTGTGGGCTCTGTCCTCGTAAGGATGTGGCATCAGTCCTCATGGGGGAGTTAGTCTGCAGACCTCTTCATGTCCTTGCCGGCTCTAGTCCTAAGGTCATGCTGGCTTCATGGAGTGAATCTGGATTGATTTCAGGAAGACCGCGGCTAGTTCTTTAAGTATTGGGTAGAACTCACCAGAGAAGCCATCTGGCCCTGGGCTTTTCCTTTGGGGGAGTGTGGGGTGAGCACTTCTCTCTCTCTTCTCAGCAGCTGTCAGTGGTGACCTCTTCCGCCGTCTGGCTGGAGTTCTGGAAGCCGGCTGCTCCACCTGGCCAGCCCTTTGGTTGCAGGTCGCTGTCCACACCCCTCCTGTGGCCCTTTTTATTTCCGTAAGGTTTCTGGTGTTAGTTATTTGGTCAACTTTGCCCTTCTTTTCCGTCTACCGACTCGTATTTTATTGTTTTCCTCTGTTGTCCGTTTTGTTTATCTCTGCTCTAACCTTTACTGTCCCTTTACGTCTCCCAGCTGGGGCTTTCATGTGCCTTCCTTGCTGTCACGTGCAGCCATTTCCAAGGGTGCTGTGAAGATCGCAGCCAGTGGGACACAGGAGAAGTGCACTTCAGTGGCCAGGACGACGCAGAGCGTGCCTGGGTTCCTGGGCCTGGGATAGCATGGGAACCCTGCGCTGACCAAGCGGGCCCTTGGGCCATACCTGGGAAGGGCCATTGCCGGAGAGTTGTGGGAAGGTACTGCGTCTTCAGCCCTGGGCCTCCAGCACCCCGTGCTTCCCACCACCCTGGTGATGGCGAGAGTCTTGGGTGAAATGCAAGAGCCTAGTTTAATACAGAACAGACGGGGCAGCTTAGGTGCGACTGATGGGCTTTTCCAGAGCAAGATCAGGGCTGCTGTTCAGATCTGGTTTAATGTGAAGTAGAGGTCCCCAAGCAGCCTTAACAGTGACACTCAAGGAGCAGGGTTCTACAGGACCAGACACCACGTGGGCCCAGCCCCGCAGAGCCACATCAGATGGGGTGGCCCAGTGTTCTGTGGTTAGATGTTTAAGGACACAGTGCACTGTGACAACGGCAGCCCTAACTCTAAAGCCACCTCCACCACCCAGCAGTCGTAGGTCTGGGGGAGAGTCTGTCGTGTTTCCCTGTGAGCCAGTCTCTACCAACTGCCTACTGTGTGCCAGGCACGCGCCCCGGATGCAGCCCATTCCCTCCTCCTTGACCTCCTTACTCCAACTGCCTTCTTTAGCAAGATCTTACAAAAAGATCTGCTCACTGCATTCTTGATCAAGCCTCTAGAAATATAAATGAGTACCTAGAAGTGGGAGAGGAAACCAAGCCATCTGGGTACAGGCTATGGTCTTATTGCTGAGAAGCAAGAGTGCTCAGAAGAGGACACCACGCAGGAGGATCGTGATGAGCCCCAGAACGTGACCTTCTTCTGCAGCAAATGATAGCTTATTCCCAAACAAGAAACCAGGCAATAGAAGTTAACCTTCTTGTCTAGGAAATACATCTGTAAGTGTGTCCTTTATAATGTAACGTTAGTTTGAAAACATGGCTGCCTCCTGCAACAAAAATCGTTCTGCATTTCTGGCTTCTCTCCTAAGAAAAACATCCTTACCTTTTTTGATTATGTTTTGAACACACAGAGATCCTCAGGAAGCAACCTGTCCCTGTGGGATGGAGAAAGGATCAGAGTTAAGCACCGAAACAAGCAATTAATTCCCATTAGAGGATTAAGGCACTCATGTTCGCTTTGAATCAGAAAAGCAAATTGTGGACAAAATGGTGTATAGCCAAGAGGTGGCTTGTCATGGCTAATAAACTGGAGAACCGAGGAGCACCCCAAGTGCACCCTGAGGCCAGGAGCGGGCAGGTCCTGTTGTGGGATAGGATCCCTTTCTCTTTGTGATACTGTAACAAATACTGGGAGAAAGTACAGTTTGTGGCACATGCTGCTGCCCTTACTCTAACAGATGTGGCCATGAGGAAGTCTGAAAGTCTGTGTCCCCACCCCTTAGGCCTGGATTACACCTCTTACCACTGAAACAGAATCAAAGGCAGTCTCACGCGGGACAGCACAACGTCCTGGTCGCGAGAGCCGCCTCCTGGTGAACTCTCAGGGCGGAGGTGTGCTCTGCCTGGGGACTGAGGAGCCCAAAGCTGAACCTCTGTCCCAAACCCAGCTGGCCAGGAACACTGCGACCATCCAGGGGTCAGTCTGGAGGTGGAATGGGCTCAGGGAGCCTCGAAAAGTTTGAGTTCAGCAAAATCTGGCTGGTTTAAATTGTCAATATTTTTAAAAAAACAAAAATCAAAAAAACCCCTCATGGCAACGTGCCTCTGGCCGGCACCGCTGGACACGCTGTCACTCGCTTGGCACTCGGGAAGCGCAGGCCATCTATCGTTTCAAATTTCATCACTGAAGCAGAAATGGAGAGGATCGGGCCTCCATGTGATCGTGGATCCGCCTGCTTCACTTCCCTCCTAGCCACCTGGTGGCAAGAGTGTAAAAGGCAGGACTTCGGAGCTGATTAGACCGTTTACAAAGGCACTATTTCACATGCCCGTCCACCCCCAAATCACACCAGGTGAGCTGCACGAGAAAAGGGCTGATACTTCCTTATTCTTGACTTGCCAAAGGATTTTAAAGAGTCACTGCCTTCTCACAAAGTGACCTTTAAGAAAGGTGCCTCAATAAAGTGTCCCTTCTGTTTGTGTTCAAATTCAGACACAAGGAAGCAGGAGGAAATCCGTGCACTGTCCCTTCCAGCTCTTCTCCCGGACAAACCCATCACTCACAAAGCACCGTGCCTGCTGTCGGCAGTAGAGGGACAGGTTGGGGTGGACAGCAGCTCTGCCCCTCATTGCAGGCTGGGGGCCATGGGCTGTCACCACAGCCTCTGGCCAGGGAACTGCCCAGCACAGAGCTCACCTGTCCTTTCACTTGCGCCTCCTTAGCTCCTGTTATTCGCCATCTTGTGTCCAAGCTGCATCCCGCAGTTCATGCAGAGCACAGTGGGTGGAGCTCAGGCCACCCTGTCCCAACTGAACACTCAGTGCCAACCACTGCCCTAGTCCTCAGGTGACCAGCAGCTGCTGTGTGCTGGGCATCTGCCCGGAGCATGCACGCAGGTGACGGGGTGCTGGGAACGCAGCAGGCGGCACTGCTGGTGGCACGTCCTCTCCCGGGAGGACTTTCCGCAGAAACCCCGTGGCCTCTCAGTGCAGTCTCCTCCCCTCCCCCGTGGTCACACTGCTTCCCAGGAGAGGAGGCCGGGTGTCTGATATAGTTACACATTAATTCTTCAGAAGTCTCTCAGAACTCTAGGAAGCAGGTGAAAAAACAAAATGCCGTGAACTTTAAACTCGGGCCTGGCCTTCGAGCACCAGGGGTCTGAGGTCACCCTTCCCTGCGGCCCGGCGCCGTGCCAGGCAGGGCTGCGGCGCATCCTGTGGGCGCTTTGATGCTTTCATCTCCCGCTCGCCAGCCTCTCTCAGAAAGTCAAGGGCTTCCTGCTGCAGCCAGGCCCCACCGGCCCCTCTGGGTGCCCCGGAATGAGGCTGGCAGAGCAACCCCCAGCTTCACTGCAGGCCAGTGGACACCATGCCTTCAACCCAGAGGCTGGGCCCCCGCCACCCTCACAATCTAGGGAAACAAACGGTGCTTTAAGGGGTCCTAGGAGCACCGCCTTTGGCAACCGTTCCATGGGATTTTACTCTTGGTTATGATAAAATTACTCTTTTAGTCCCTATCATATTAAAAACTATTGTGTTACCGTCTTCGGAACGCACACTGACCACCAATGCAGACTTGACCCTCCCTGCTCCCACCTGGAGGGACAGATGACCTGCTGAGCACCAGGGCTAGGCACAGCCCGGCGGTCATGCAGCTGGCCCCTGCTGCTCCCAGGGGACTTGGCAGCCTGAAAACAGGTCTGGGGCCAGCAGCTCCAATGCCAGAGATGGTGCCAATGCCCTATGGTGCCCCTTAGGAATTCTGGTGCCACCTGCAACTTGGCAATTAAATGCAACAGGGCAGCCACCTTGGAGTGACAGCACGGGCCCCACCTGCTCTATGCTGAGAGATCCACTGTACTCTCTAGGTCCTGCTCAAGATCCTGCTCCAGGCTACACAGCAAGATAGTCTTGTCCCTAGGGACACTCAAAAGCCCTTACGTACAGGATACCGGTGCAAATCCACGGGCATCTCACTCTGAGGGGCTCTGCACCACTTCAGATCCATAGCCTGCCAGAAAAGCTAGGCCCAGAAAGAACAAAGTGCCCCAGACCCCTAATATGACCCAGGGAGCTGGGCCTGAAACAGAGGGCTCAGTGCTCAGAGGGGACAGATAGCTCTAGCTATGAAGTGTGATCTAGGACCCACGAGACCCATCTCAGCGGGTAGGGGGCAGTGGGCACTCCCTGGGAGGCACGGCACATTGCAGGGCCGGGAGATGGTGACAATCGACCCTGTTCTAGGTGGTTCCATGGGGCAGCCATCTGTCTGTACCTCCTCCTGTATGCCTAATCTGGGACTTTGGTTGAATGCAAAGTAGAGCTCAAAGAAAACTGACCTATAAATAAACGCTACAGGAGCTCAGGAAAGGCAGGCAGGTTGCAGGCCGCTCGGGCTCGGTCATTATTACCAGTGTCAATAGTCCAGCACACTCCTCAGTCCCTGATCAAAAGCAGACACTCAGCATATTAGATTAGGGTTTCCACAGAATCTGAATATTTTCAAAGTACTTCTACAAATAGTGATGGTGGCCTCTTAGGCTCAGTCACTTTCTGGAACCCAACATGCAATAAACAAAACAATACAGACTGCTCTGTGTTTACTACCTGGGTTCACAGAAGAGTGGCAGAGTCAAGGTCAGTTGCTCAGAGGTATGGACGAGGGGTGCATGGGACGTCTGTGGCCCTGGACACTGGGGCGCACAGTCAAAGCCTCTGTGCCCATCCAGGGCCCCGGCCCTGCTGGCTGTTGATCAAACAGTGATTTTCCACACTTGGCTACTAAGAGACACAGCACATGGTTGGTCTGTTTTCCAGGCTGCCGGAGCTTTCAACTTACTTGCTGGCAGTTGCTCAAAGTATGTTATTGAGCCTCGAGTCCCTTGACTGGCTGGCCTGAAACAGGACTGACTGTGTACTGAAGTACTATTTAAAGGGTTTCTTCAGAGACTTCTTATGCTCAGATTAGCATAGTCCTTATTTTATATGTTTCTTAGGTGAGAAATGGAGAGTTTTGGAAAGCAAACTCATATTCAGGTTAAAAAAAATCCAGAAGAACAATTATAAAATATCACACAAAGTCATTCTCTTCTCCTTGAAGTGATTTGCTAACAAAACATTCTAGAAGGATAAGAACCTGACTCACTGCCTAGTACATGCAATCAGGAGCTAAAGGGAACTGCAAACCCAACGACCGCAAGAAACCAACAAATGAGCTGCACAGTGGTCACCTGGCCTCTGCCAACAGCAACCAGCTGGTCAGGAGTCATCCGAACTCCATTTTCAATGGGCCTGGAAATCAGGATTCAATTCTTTTGGTAGCAATGACACATTTATGTTTCTCTAAAAATATCATTAAAGCCAGCTTTAACTGCTCTGCAAAGACATTGACTACCTACAAGGAATCAGGCAGGAGGCAGCAGATAAACACAAACCTGGAAAAGGTGAGTGCCCACGGTAGTACACCCCCAAGGAAATGAGAGCCCCCCCATACCCCGCAAACTGCTGGCTCTCACACACAAAGCTCTATTTTTAAACACTAAAAAATTAAGCCTTTAAAAATATAGAAGCTAGAACTCAAAATTAAGCCTGATGGGCTCTTGGACTAATTGCTATCCCCAAAGCATTCAAATCCTTTCTGTGCTTGTATAATTACCCCAAGTTAAATTCAATTAAAACTCTGATTTACAAGAAGGGAGTCAGGGAGGAAATTAAGGGCACATTACTGAACAAGCTTTTACGTAGTATGCATCAAGTGGAATCATTTACTCACATTCCTGAGTCCTCACGTTGCCCCTGGTACTATTCGCTGTCAGAAGCCTGAGCTCTGAGTCCAAATCTGATCTATATTGGGGCTGAGCAAACTGGACCCACCCAGCAAACTGAATCTGACCCTATCATACCTATATACAACTATGTAGAGCTTTTTGTGTGTGTGGCACTGGAAGTTGGACCCAGGGTGCTCTACCACTGAACCACATCCTATTTAAACTTTCTTTTGAGGGAGGTCTTGTTAAATTGCTGAGACTTGAACTTGCATCCTCCTGCCTCAGCCTCCCAAGTAGCTGTGAGTAGCTGTGATTACAGGTCTGGCCACCATGCTGGCTGGATCCCACTTGAGCTCTATCAAGTGGGAACAGTGACAAAAGGGGGGACAGGGGACAGGGGTTGGGATGGAGGCTGGAGCCAGCACACCAGTTCCTCAAGCTTAAGCCCCCTGGCTTCTCTAGTATTGGGGTGGGTTCCAGGACCCACCTAAATATTAATAAAAACCCCATTTTTGTATATACTGGACTATGAAAAAGCACTTAAAGCCAATGTGGAGTCCACTCCGGACCACAAAATCCCTTG